CACATGACTGAAAATATTCTTCCTTTCAAGCGCTTTTCTAATAAATTTCATGAAATGAAACGACTACGAATCCAGAAATGAACACTCTTTCGTTCTTGAAACATATTAAGCGCTTTCCAAGCGATCCAGAAGCAAAGCGTAGAGTTTTAGTCATGTTTTCAGTTGAAAATTATGAGTGCCGGGCATCGTATTTCCCCGATTTTGAAACCGCCGATCAAGCTCAGCGCTTGACATTTCTCTGCAAAGGAAGAATATTTTCATGTCTGTAATCGTGGTTGTTTTATATTTCATTTTCTCGAGAAATTTAGACTGCCGTGTATGCACATAGTCTTGCGCGAGGTAAAAATTTCGAAGTGCCTCAAATGACTATTTCGTATTCTGTGCCGAGGACAAGGAATTTGCTGAAATTCAAATCTACTGAGTTCACGGCAAGCGCTTGACAATTCTCAATGAATATAAAACGGTTTGATACATTAAATCTTAGCGTTTTTATTGATTTTTGTGAGAAAAATAGACTTTTATAAGGCATTTTAGTCTTTTGCGACCGAACTKATGGCCTGGRATGACGTCACAAGAGTCGCGCCAGTCCCAGCTCGGACAAAAGAATTTGACGCACTTAATTTTGGCTTTATTTTTCCGATTTCGTCCCAACCGTTTGCAAAATAATCACCAAACTTTCACAGAAAGTCTAACAAGGTTCATAAAAATTGTTTTAGATAATAAAAAAAAAATCGTGAAGGTGCACTTTAAGCTTAGCCAGCCATTTCGCACGATTGAGCCATCCGTCTACTTGTCAAGAAAGCCGCTATATTTGTTTCAGTTGCCTGTGGTAAGCGGACCATGGTAGCATTCAACCATGAAGTACATACCTGAAGTATAAACATGGCTGAATGCATACAGACGACAACATACAACTATAGGCATATGTGCTATGGCAATATTCAGACATGATGTACATATGAAACGTGACAGGAAAAAAAAACAAGTGTTTGCATTTTATGAACTTCCCAGGCCGCAAGGCCGCCTGGGACTTTAACAAGACAATATAAAAATCGGAGTGTCTAAACGTCAGGCAGCATGATGTTTAGTCCCAGGACTAAACGTCAGGCAGTCTAATTTTTTCTTATAAAAAAAATATAAAATCGTCGGAACAACCGTAATTTCAATTAATCAGTGAAAGATAGTGCAGGGACTATAATTAGACCATTGTTTCTTCATTTTGAAGGGATAATTGTTAGGATATTTGATAGGCAGTTAATAATTATAAGTAATAGCATGGCTCTGAGGGAGATTAGGGATTAAATGTCCCCGAAGCCGAGGGCAGATAAGTTGACTTTTACTTATCTGCCCGAGGCTGAGGGACATTTAATCCCTAATCTCCCGAGGAAGCCATGCTATTACTTTGTAATACCATGATTTCCGAGGGAAAAATTGAAGTTGAACTTGAGCGAATTTGAATTCTTGTTTTTTTGTATGCTTCAATGTTTTCAATTCATGCATGAATTGGAATATGACATGAAAAGAAATACGCACTGTTCTAAGAGTATCACTCGCCGAACAACAGTACAAAATGATATTGATAATCCGACCATTGTTACTGATTTCCCACAACGAACTTTGTTTGAAATTGCTTTTCAGTTCTATTCAATGCTGAAGTTAACGAACCTTAACTTCAACCGCGAAAAGTTGTTTTTATATTTGCAAGTATAATGCCAAGAAGCTTATCAACTATTATCAAACATTGAAATTCGTCAAGTGCACATGCTCAGCGGTACGAAGTAGATACTCGGAACCAGAGCTACTCGGTCAATTTGTCCCAAAAATCATCCCACATTTCAGTGTGAATGAGACGATAACCAGACCGTTCATTGCAGAGGTAAAAAGAAGACAGCTGTAGGGACATTCAGTTGTCCCTGCTGGGAAGCAAAGGTTTCCTTTGCCTTCCGTTCCTCATGAATAACATGAGGGACGATTAGTCTAATCGTCCCTCATGTTATTATGCATGAGGGACGATTACTGGTAATCGTCCCTCATGTTATTATGCATGAGGGACGATTACTAGTAATCGTCCCTCATGCNAAATGTATAAAGTGAGCAATACTTAGAATAGATGAATCAAATGTCCTAATCAACTGCTTATCAAATATCCTAATCCTTATCCCTTCAAAATGAAGAAAGAATGGTCCAATTATAGGCCCTGCACCATTCACTGGATGCTTGTGGACAATGAAAAGTTTTTCTTGTAATGGTTGAAGGGAGACGGGGAAGGTCACGATATTTTGCCTGTCTAATATCAGTAGGGTTGGAAAATTTCACTTCCCCACTATGATTGGTCAGCCTATTCCCAGTACCCACTTTTCAATTTCCAACTCCCCTCCCCCTGCTAACATTTGACTAGACCCTTATTTCGGTCTTTATTCCATTTCTCTTGTGCTATTAATTGAAATTACAGTTGTTCCGACGACTTGTCACAAAACAAGTAGACTGCCTGACGTTTACTTCTGGGACTAAATGTCAGGCAGTCGAAAAATTTTAAAGTGCCGTGCTTGTGACCGGGGCTTGTGACTATACAAACTTGCCGTATAGTATTATTTCGGTCTTCAGTGCATTCCCTTGTTGTATTAATTGAAATTACGGCTGAACCGATGATTTTGTAAAAAAAAACATCGACTGCCTGACGTTTAGTTCTGGGACTAAACGTCAGGCAGTCGAAAAATCTCAAAATACCGTGCTTCCTGCGTTTGAAACTTTTCGAACAGTATTATTTTGGTCTTTATTGCATTTCGCTTGTTGTATTAATTGAAATTAAGAATATTATAAGAAAAAATTAATTATAAGAAAAAATTAGACTGCCTGACGTTTAGTCCTGGGACTAAACGTCAGGCTGCCTGACGTTTCGACACTCCGTATAAAAATTAGGTAACACCTAATAGCGGAGCTCCAGTGGCAATATAGAAAAGAATGATTATCTAGTACTCCATTTCAATTCAAGCATAGCCTTAGTAGAGGTACGCTGTTTCAAGGAATGTAAACAGAACATATTTTATTGACATGTGAACAAATACTTATCAAATAAGTTTAAAAGAACTTCGTACTCTGAATTCGTTGACTTTGGTAGATTTTGTTCAGTGGGACGAACTTAATCAGTTAATCTGTGCATCAATTGATTTAACTGCAAATAGTCTGCATATAA